TTAATATAACTTGATATTTTTAAGAAAAAAAATTGCAATAAAACCTCCCAAAACAAAACGCCTCTGCGGAGGAGAGTGCTAGGAAATAGTCGCGAGGCTTGGAAAGGCTAGCATTTTATCGGATTGTTTGCATGAAACTTATCGCTATTATGAAATACTCTGTGAAGTACAATATGAATTTCACACAAGATGGCTGTGGAGGAGGCTATGGAAGTTCATAATCTCATTATCAAGTAAATCAACTACAATTCTGACAGCAATCATGAGCAATTCTGCTTCGCACTTCGGGGGCAGAAATGGCTTTACTGGGAGGGGGGAATTCTTTCCCTGGGGGTGGCAATTGCCCCCCCCCCAGATATATAGTTAAAAAAGGCACTGGATTGTTACGGATACAACTACCTGATCATGAAAAATACAAGGAAAACTTCGACGTTTTGAGCGAAGGCCTTGAAGTTACAGTAATTTCACTCTGCAGCGTCCAACTCTCTCTTGTTATGATATACGCGTTTTTTATTCCCATTTTTGTTTCTATCATTTCCAGCAGTCTTTCCAGTCCTTCCAGTTTCCCAGTCTAAAAATAGGCAGATCCCAGTTCCCATTTCAGGCCCTTCAGTCTAAACTGTGAAGGCCCATTTCTACTCAAGAAAATGTTATGCGGAAAGAAAAATTTGTAAAATGTGATTGGATATATACAAATTTTCCGCCGAAAAATTTTTTAAGTTGAAAATGTTCAACTTTTAACCATTAATGATATTTTCGGAAAATTTTCTGTCCGTGGAAAATTCTCTCGAGTGAAACAATAAACAGAGCAGACAGATTTTGGACAAACACACATACACACCGGGCAGTATAAGACTGTCAGGCTACGGGCGAAGTCGAATCAATTATACTTTTGACATCACCCGAAACAGACTAAAATGGTCTTGTTTTCGGGTTGAAAATTGATCAGTTTAGTTCGCTCTAATTCCACTTGACCTACGGATAGAACTCTTTTCACTAAACTATTGATTAATTAACATGATTTTTGACCACAAATTGTCGGAATTTTCAGTTATCTGTTTTGAATTTGAACTCCAGCCTTAGCTATATTTTTATTTAGCAGCAATTAAGAGCAATCATATGAAAACTACTGGATAACCAGTAATAATGTGATCTAATCTAATCTATGTTAAGAGTTAAAATCCATACTGAGATATACTGATTACTGACGTTACTGAGGCTATATATTTTTTAAACATAATATGATCACGACATTACAGATTCAGGCGGTCCTGAAGAGGAGTGGTGAGTTTCAGATTACTTGTCAGTTGTGTTGTAACCATTTTCTTATGTATTTAAAATCTCTGAACATTGGGGACTCTAAACACGGCAGAAGACAGGACCGTAGCTAGACGCGATAATTGGGGGGGGGGGTGTATATTCATATATTCATGTTCACATACCGTAAAAACAGTCGCTTTCAAAAGAAATCCGTCGGGCAGAACACGAATATATGAATATGCACCCCCAAATGATCGATCTAGCTACGGCCCGGACGGCAGGAATAATACAGTGTCTCATCGTGCTAATAGTTACCTATATTTTACAGATTGTATACAACAGATCGAAATTGTGGCCAACATGCAATGGCTACATGCATGTTAACTTAAATAATTCATCAATACTATAGTTCAGTGAAAAGAATTCTATTCGTAAGTCAAGTGGAATCAGAGCGAAGTAAGCTACTCATTGGCAACCCAAATACGTTTCGTCTGTTCGGTGATGTCAATATACACTTTCAGAGATATTAGGAATCAAAGAATATTTGTGAGACACCATTTGATATGAAACAACGACGAGCAGATGATTACTGTGAAAGACTGTCCTTGGCTATTGCTAATGAGGTTACTTATTGCCCTATTATCTTACTAATCCTCCGGCTATCCGTTTCTTTATCATTCAAATCCTCTTTTGCATATCATTACATATTTAAATGACGAACATTACTGTTTCCATGCTATATTGTTTGTTAATGTCTTTTGCGTGATTTATTTGGACTGTATCGGAAAGGCACTCAAAATATACAAAGATCCAGTGATATTCAGTCAGATTCGGTTCTTCAAGACAAGGTGGTGGCGTACGTGTGATAGAACTAGAACTTGGTCGTACTACCCTATAGCGAACGTATTTTGGAGATCAATGTTGTTCAAAGATTAATCAATGGCATCAGAAAACCAGGCATCTCAGTCAAAACCACGTTCAATGTTGCCTCGTACACTGGTAGTTGTCCTGAATCCTATATCCGATGTTCCGACAACGAAACTACGTCGTTTTAGTAGTAGGAGATTTGAGAAAGTGTTTGAAAACTTCAGGCAATGCAATAAACAAAGTATTAGTGTACAATTACAAGATGCTGTTGATGATATACAGTTTGTTGGATGGATTTCGCCATTTACTTTGTTGATTCATGGTTCAACGGAAGATATGGACGCGATAGAAAATGCTTGGGTAGGGAGGATGTTGAAACCTCCGTCTGGGTTTCTTATCAAAGAATTTGGTAAGTTAGGAGGATATTTATTTCATTTTCAAAAATATGAAGATATGTGTATATATAATAAATAGAACTGTTTGGCTAATCCTTGTATAAATTTCGGAGAGACATGCAGTAAACACCGACAAGAGGGATCAAAATGGCTGGATCAACGTAAAGGATTAATATAAATACTCTGATGCATGACGTCCTGCTGCGTATACAATTGAGTTACCGGGCTTCGAGGTGCAGTTACCTGTCAACGCACGCTTTCATCTTTCCATCGATTTAACTTTGTATAGATGTTTGCAAGGCTGTCAAAAATTGATCTGCACATACTTTCTGTTTGTAGAACACACAAAGTCAGTCAACATGCTATTTTCTACAAATAGAAAATAAATATAGTCAAAATAGACGCAGAATACGTCTTTTCGGGGTTCGCGACACAATCTTAGGAAGCGCATGGGCAAGCACAATAGACTAACAATACCATTACCCTGGGGACAACTATTCCCATTGGGACGAGGTAGTATTTTTACCAATGTGCTTGTGCCACTGAGGTGCAACATGGTGTAACTCTTAAAAGGCGCATTAAAAAAAGTTGAAATTTTCACCGCAGATTTACCGGTTTAATCGAAACATCGACTTCGCCAAATCTTGGGAGAGGTACGACGCCGAATATTTTTTCATCCATTTTGCAAATGATTTAATGTTTTCACCTCTTCAGTTTCAAGTAGCCGACAAACGTCCAAGCGACATATGAAACAATTCTGAAGTACTTTTTTATTTTTTGGCATGGAAACATAACATAGGAAGATTGGACTAAAAATATTCCTGGCACCATTTGCTTCCCCGCGATGCTATACAACCTCTTATTATACTAATTATAGCATGTAATTATAAACCGGCATCCCAAAGCAGCGGTCAAACGAGAATGGGAGCGAAAATTTACACGAGAGTTAAGAGTTTTCTCAACTCTCATGCCCTGCGGGTCAAACGAGTATACAAGAGTCGCATGAGAGCTGACTGGATACTCGACGAAAACTCTCATCAACTGACGCCGTCAAAATTTGAACCAGCTCAAAGTTAATGAGAGTGCACGAGAATCGATAAGACGCGAGCGAGAGTTGCAAGTCTCAGTCTCTCATCAACTCTTATCAGATAAGACTTGATGAGAGACTGAGATAATCAACTCGGCCATCTTCGTTTCACCGGAGCTCTAATTTAATTTCTACTACGTCACCTCGCTGCATGTGCATTACAGAATAAATTACATCTTTTATGTGATAGGTACAGTGATTGCACAATCGCTGTTTCGAACTTTCATGTGCTCAGAGATATTCGCTTCCTTAATAGATTAATAAGCATCATTATTCATTAACAAGCCATTAGGTACATTTTTACTTTTACTACCTCCGTTGACGTCAAAGCTTGTGGGCGATCTGTAAGGCAGAACTATAAGCACAGTTTAATTTAAAGAGATAAACTTGCGATACTTAATTTAAACTTGCCTTTCACCTCTAAGGTCGCAGGTTCAAGTCTTAGTGAGTTTCTGGACGAGACTCGAACCCAGTCCTCATGTGAAAAGAGTAAAAGTCAACGCTCTGCCGAAAGTCGTTGGGTTTTCTCCGGGTACTCCAGTGGAATTCCTCCCACAGAGAAAGTTGACAGGGTGGGTTAGGTAAAAGGGCCCACAGTGAGTCATTGGCATATGCTGTTGTGATGACTCTGCCCTAGTTGGCAAAGCTAAATAAATAAATAAAGATTTTAGCCAGTTTCACTGCAGATGATACCTCGCTATGTTAAGGTTATGTTAAACCAAAGGCCCTAACCCATTTTTAAACAGCGAGGCATAAATCTATAACCTTAATATTAATTAGACTACAGTCTCCGACAAAATATTTTTAATTAAAGCCGGGATTTGTAGCTGGAAATTTCGAGTGGAATTTTTATACATTTATTAGACCTACCCAGGAGCAGTTGCGAAAAATGCAACTAGTATCAGCCCTCTGGCAGGAATCGAACCTGCGGGCCTGCGATTCCGGTGCAGCGGTCTAACCAGCTGAGCTACAGAGAGACAGTTGTCGAGCTCTAACCAGAAGTTCATGTTATTAAGGTGATGCCAGTGTACGATGTATGAGTATATATCAGGATTTGGGCATCTCAATCGATATAATATGCGACACCTCAGGATTTCGTTTGCCTGATCCTATTCAATGCCTTGGTATAACTCAATATATATGATATTTTGGTTAATATAAATCATTTTCACTATCGGTCCACCTGATGATGTATCCTTTTAACCAACATTGAGTAAGGGGAACAGGGCTAACAACATATGTGTACATGTCACTCACAACAGCTTTTGTCTTGAGAACAGCTAGAGACTGAAAATTGCTACTCGCCGCCGAATCACACTATGTACAGGGGCGTAATTTGGGTCTATACATTAGGGGTTATGTTTTGCTCGATGTAAGAGGGTGTGGTCAGAAAATAGCGTAAAGATGCAGGGAGAAATTCAAGAGGTAGCGTCGGATGCACCATCCTCGTCGGATGCACCATCCTCGTCCTCAGGCCTGCGCGCTAGGCCTTTCCCGATTGCGCTGGTAAAATCCTAAAAAAGTGCTGGCAAAAATGGCTAAAAAGTGCTCAAAAAGTGCTCAAAATCTCAAAATAGTGCTCAAAAAGTGCTAAAATTGTGAACAGTTACCTCTAAGATTTTCGTAAATTTTTTAAAATCAGCATTTTTTAAAATCTGTTTCCACGTCCTTCTCCATATATGGAACAAACTTCCGTATATGGAGTTGTTTACGACAAAAAAAAAGAGAACTCGAAAAAGTCAGCGTTCTAATTTTTTAACTGTAATGTCATATGCAGCTGTACGGCTTTTCTTTTGGAGTTATACCTAAATTATATATAAAATAATAGTATAATACCCGTCAATTTTTAAACCTTACTCCGAACTGTATGTTTAGTTAATCGAAGTACGAATCGAATTCTATAATCGCTAACTTTTTGTTGCTCAAAATTCGCTCGAAATGTGAAATATTGCTCAAATGTTGCCCAAAGTGCGAAAAAGTGCTCAACGTTGCTCAACATGCAAAATGGTGCTCCAAACAAAAAAAAGTGCTCAAAAAGTGCTCAGCGCAATCGGGAAAGGCCTACTGCGCGCGGGCCTGGGGACGATGATGCGCCGACACACCTATCGAGTGCTAAAGGCGCGAGAGCCCTAGAGAGCCCTATGCTTTCTCAGAAAATGTTGAAAATGTTTGTAAATTTGCCATTTGCAAACAAAATTGCCGTTTTCAAACATTAGGTGCTGTCACGCCCCTTAAGCCCGGCCCCTCAGGATTTACGCTCCTAATTATGTACGTAGCATTAATATACAATTTTTTAGAAAGTGAGTAATGGAAATGAAAAACCATTCATGTATATTACATGTTATCATTTTATAGGAGAAATCTCCCAGTTGGAGATGAAGCAAATATCACAGTCACAGTTTATATCTATTTCCGACACATTGTGTGAGATAGTGAAGGGATTGAACGAAAGTCAAATTGCGGCTACATTTGAAAGTGTTGTAAGTAGACTCTGCAGTAGTTTTGACAGTGTTGTTATACCACCAATGGCAGCCATTAAAAATTGTTTAGATCTTCTCATTGGAGAACAAAGACTTGACTTTATTAATGGTGCATATTATTTCAAGAGTACAGTAGCTTCAAAACCACGAGAAAAGTTAACCACGTCCCCTCACATACTGAAAACGGAAATACAAGGACCCAGCCGGCATGTTCTGTTGTCTAAAAAGGCCGTAACGGAAGTTAAAAGTTATATGAAAAGAGGAAAATTGAATGGATATGAGCGTTTGGAATCTGAGAAAGTAAAGGAGAGAACAAAAATAGCCAAGTTGGACAATACAGGAAATTATGAAGCAGAACGTCAGAAAGGACACGAGTTGAATAAAAATGAGCAAAGTCTTGAAACGAAAACCAACAGAAAAGGTAAAAAGAATAACGTGGTAAAATCAAGTAGTTTAAAAGTCCGCAAGCCAAATCACTGTATTCCTCGTAGGCAATTTCCATATGAGGAATTACATTCACATGCGAAACAAAAAGAACTTGAAGATAAAAAGCAAACTAATAAACGTAATTTTTTTCTTGGGAAACTTTCACGACTTTTCAAAATGGAGGATAATAATTTGGCGAGCAATGATGAAAACGACAACGATTCAGACCACGGATGGGAGAAGATTGTGACTGACGCACAAGTGAAATTGCTTTCAAACCAAGTGGAAACGCAGCAAAAACGTGTACTGGATCAGAGCTGGGAGAAACATAATGGAAGGAAGAAACCCAAGAGAATCAAGGAAAGAAATGTTGTTAGCACTAAACAAATTGACACGACAAGACATGGAGGAAATTTGTCAAGGAACAAGAATGTTCAACGTCGTAGAACAGTGTATAATCAACAATGTCCATCACGGGCGAGTAGTACCAACGCAAGCTCACATTCAAGATCTTCTGATCGGGGAAACACAAGAAATAAAAGCATAGAACAAAAAACAGAATGGAAATCTTCTCTGACGAGAGAACGGGAAGATTCAGCTAAACAATATTCCTTATCTTCTGATTCCGAGTCAAGTTGTTCTAATCTGAACAATTCAGATAATTCATTAAGCTCAGAGAGCAGTGTTGAATTAGCCAGGAAATCATTTCATTATTCCGAAGAAGATACAACCAATGTTGAATCGTGGCAAGCAAGCCGGGAAGATGGTGCTTCCAATTTTTGTTCAACTCAAGCAATCTGCGGTGACCTGGAACTCAGTACTCTCTCATTAAATCCAACCAGGAAAATAGCATCATCATCGTCATCATCAGACACGTCAAGTATAGAGCATGTTGAAAAACATTCAATTATTCCTGGGGTGAACTACAATGGAGTTTTAGATCAGCAAAATAACTTACGCAGTCGTAATCTTGTCCAACTAATTGGAATTTTGTAAAGATTTTCCGTTTCAATGAATGTGTAATAACGTACTTAACTGCGGTTTCCTATCTTATGTATAGGATAAACACCGAGGAGGGATTTATGTCAGATAATGACCCGAGGGCGCGCAGCGTCCGGACTCCCAGGGCATATTATCTGACATTAAATACTCATTAAAAATGCATAAACCTTGTGGCAAATCATGTCAGCCATAATATGTCACGTGGAGTGACTTTATATCTGATAAAACTCATCTTCATTAGTATTCTTTACATAATTGTTCATCCTAATTAGTATGATTATATAATTGTTCATCCTAATTAGTATATTTTTGTAGTCGTATTTTAAGCTATTCAAAATACTCGAACTCGCGTTTTATCATATCTAAAACGCTCGGCTGCGCCTCGCGTTTTAAATATGATAAAACACTCCTTCTCGTGTTTTAAATACTACTAAATCCAGACTTTCGAGGTGTTTATCATATTTAATTCATTGTTGAGGAGGTTTTCCAACAAAGTTTTGTCTGCTTCGAACGACAATTTTACCTTCATCTTTTCAGCTAATTAATATTCAAGGTGATCATTAAAAATAATCGCTAGTACTCGGTACATCAAAGAAAACAGACTCAATCATGAATTGATTGGATAGAAAGTCATGAGGGCGGTCTGTATTCGTCACATGTGCATCCACTCCTGCCGTCAGGCATGGATGTGAACGAGTTATGAATGTTCAGATGAGGGTATTCATACTGGGAACAGTAATAACTCACATGAAGAAAGAATAAACGGGCCGCCTTTTGCATGATAGCTAGCGTGACAGACTCTTTGATTATATTCTCGTATTATATAGAGGATATTTCACGGTGGCACGGAAATATGACTTTTATTTTCGAGTGGTGAAAGTTATTATATGGATAAAAGTTGAAGCAAAAACAACAAAACTTTGTGACTTTATTAGTTTATTCAAGTTTTGTTTTTTGTTTTGTAGCTCACCGCGAGCTGTGCCGCGAGGCTCACCGTACGGCAACAATGTTTATGTCTCTCCGCTTGCTAATCGAGGCTAAATAGTCGCTGAAGATCGCCAAATAGGACTAATTAGTCTTCCTTTTTGTGTTTTCATTTTCTTCAGAAAACCTTGCCATTTCAGCGTCGAAAACATCAACAAAATGTCGAGAAGTTGTCATATTGTATATTCAAAACAGAAACGGCAAAATGGCGGGAATTAGCGTGGGTCCCGCGCGAGACGTTCCCGCGTAAGATATGATTTCATATTTCACTATAGTGAAATACGGAAAATATCAGTGGCGTATTTTACGGTATTTTACTCACATCCATATAATAAATTCGAGTATTACACCCCTCACACACACACACACACAAAAAACTACCATAAGATTATATATGTATAGAAAATCAAAAGACATGTGTTTTGTATGAAGAGCAGGGTATGGGGTAATAGAGAGGGGGCTTAATAAGTTTCTCAATCTAAACGACTGCGGTAAATATTCATTGGCGATCAGCGAACTCAAGCAGCTAGGACTCATTCAAAAGTAAATTAAATGATTATGGAAAAGCCTATTTTATAGATCAGCGCTATTTGAGGCGAACAAAAAATATACACAATTGATTTTTGTTATATTCGGTATAATATATATTTAATTCTACAACTACAAATTTTTTGTTTATTTCCTTTTTTCATTTTTTTGTGACGAAGTAGCTGATTACATTTGGAAATTCTCAGCATGGGATGTTTCAGTCAGGTATGGTCAGGCTGCTAACGGAAAACGTACGATAAAACAAGACTTAAATTGCAGTAAGTGGTAAAAACATCAAGTTATGAAATTTTCATTATGTACATTTTGCTAACTTCGAAAAATCATGCTCGACATTAGTTTCAATTGTTTCAAGCTTTTCAATTTATATTTTGTGGTATATGCTTTAACAGTTTGCCCTTATTACTTTGAAGCTGCTGGAATTCCCTAACAAATGAAATCAGCTCCTTATTTTTTTCATTATTATTATTATTATTATAATTGAATTTGTCACGACATATCTACATGCTATTATTATTTATTCAAAAGATTTGTGGTTTCTGAGTGGCTGGCAAATGTGAAATCGTCATAGCTCATTAGCTGACCAAATATGGAGTTTTGATATAATATTCACCTGAGTGACGTCATAACGTTGAAGCCACGAAAGGTTTTGAAATATCTTAACGAACTTATGAAAAAAAGGAAAGATTTTTTGCAAATGAGAAAAAGAACTGGTCATTATTTCGACGAATTGAACCCACAGGTCCGGATGTCTTTTTCATCTTTTAAATAAATAACAAAACAATTATTGAGTTCAGTTTTTGCAAGATATGAAGAATTAACACAAGGTTCAGGCTTAATAATTCTTCATATCGTGTTCCACCTCATTAATAATTATTAATTCTCTACTGTCGGATAATATATAATTTTAGTATTTTTGCACAAGTGAACATAACAAATCCTACAAGTTGACTGGTCAAATTTGACGTATTAATCCGTTATATTCACCTACAGTAGGTGAATATAACAAAATCGAAATTTTCAAAATGGCGGCTAGCCGTTTTGTTGAAGTTAGTGATAAAGAAATAAGCGAAATTAAAATGAATTCAGACCAGAAAAACACAACAATATCTTGTGCAAAAATACTAAAACAATTATTCGCCTCAGGCTCGGTGATTATCGGAGAATATTCACCTCGACTTCGTCTCGGCGAATATTCCCCGATAATCACCTCGCCTTCGGCGAATAAATGTTGCACTGCAAAACATTTTCAATTGACACAAAATCTTGAGTAAAATAATGCACCCAGAGTGACTCAAACGTTTGAGTAAAATTACCCAGATGAGTACATTTACTCATCTTTTCTTAGTTAAGATTTACTTTACTAAAAACCGAGTAAATTTACTCAGTCTGATAAATTTGAGAAATTTTACTCAATTTTTTTAGTCACTCTGGCTGCATTATTTTAATTCATTAAAGCAGTGTGAAGACAACATATAGCTCTAAAAAATCTAACACTACACCATCCCCAGTTTACTGTTTAGCTAAAATGTTGAAATATTGAAGTTCCAAAAGTTTCTTTCGAAAAAGTTAAGCTTTCTTTTCGGGATGTTGTATGACATCAAGAACCTGATTTATATCGTAATCTTTAGCTTTCAATAATTGAGTGAGCCATCCACCTTCATCATTGAAGCCCATTGCTTTCATCTGAGTAAGAGCACTTGCTAATCGATCCTCAGGCTCAGAAATCTTGCCATCTTCAGTTGTTTCATCAACAACTATATAAGTATGGTCACCATCATGAGATGAACCACTGCAGGCATCGTCCTGAAAATAAATATATCATCAATATCAGTCACCTTCCTAATCTATTGTACAGTACCTATCACATATTATGTTTGGCAGGTGAATAGACCATTTGCAAAATCACTGGAGTGCAAGGCACAAAATAATGGCTGATCAACGATCTATGATTGGCAGGAAATTGCTTTTGATTGGCAGAGAAGCAAGGTTTGCTGATCATCTTGATCAGCAAAAACCATTGTCTCAAAAAACATGGTTAATGTTGTTAACGAACACCATGTGATACTACGGCATTATCACAGAACATATAAACAGAACCTACTGTATATCCTATACTGATCGGCCAGATTTTCATTTGATCAGCAGAAAATTATGACTGCTGATCACCATGATCGGGAACGTTGGAAATGTTATTTCGAGCCGTGGGACTGGGAGTGTAGCATTATATACATGCATGGCCCCAATTTTGTTCGTGTTTAAAACAGACAGTGCCTTCAAATATTATGCAAGATGGAAATCATGGAATACAATTCAAAAGAAAGCAAAGGATGAAGTCAAGGCCATATGTGTTATATACTGTAGCATGACAATGGTACACTCCACTGAATCTGCAAATGGTCTATGGCATGCTTTGCAATGGATTAGCTTACTAATAAATAACAAAAAAACGCTATATTTACCATGGGTTCACCATTGTCTTTGTCATTTTTTGGTGTTTCATCTTTTCCTGAATCTGGCGATTTTCCACCTTCATGTTGTCCACAACCACCTGAAATAATAAGATAAAAATATACATAACTGTCAAGATTACCTTAAGTTTGCACAAGATGCATTATTTTTCCTGAAGCCAAAATAATTTACTTAATTAATTATGGTATTTAGGAGTGCAAAGTGCTCATTGAGCGTCAGTGCTCATCTCTTGGTGAGTAAAATCATCCGGCATTAGAGCGGTTAGACAGAGGTTAAATTATAAAGTAGGGTGCTTTGGGATGCATAAAATACATAATCAAATGATTTGCAAGGTTCTTAAAATTTGCCCAAGTTTTCCAGAGCAAGTTTTTTATACAGTATACAAATAATGAATGTTTATTCGTGCAATGGTAAGAATATTTTGATGAGGTCAAAGATGGAAATGTTCTAATGGAACATTCCATGAAAATATTCTTACCATTGCACAAACTGCAATCACAGTACAAGAAGCATTTTGACGGATGTGATTTATCGAAAACACAAAGAGTGCAAAGGAATAAAACGTATAGCACAATTGCACTCGCAAAGAGTGCAATGGAACGTATTCCATTGCACCCTTGGGAAATGGAATTTTCTATTCAATATCATGTGACCATAAACAGCCAATTAAACGATCAGAATTCAATAAGGTATTATATAATACATTCTATATGTTCCAATACAGATATGCAATAACCCTTTAGCCAATAGTGACAATTAACCGCATTGAACTGCATTATTATGAACAATTAACTGCATTGAAAATATATCATGATGAATCAGTAGCTGAACTAACCTGGATTGTTTCCAACATATGTATGCACATCCACACCAAATGGCCCCAAGAAGGAGTTGAGTGCTTCACCAAACTGATGGAAGAATGCACCTTCTCCAGGGCTATCTGATTGAGATTGGCTGGATGGTTCAGGACCAGTATTTCCTGGGAACCTTGGACAACCCCCTCCGCCACGACCTCCATGGAATGGACCACCACGATGACGAAAACCACGTCTTGGATCATGCCAACCTCCTCTTGGACCCATGCCCCTACCATGCATCCAGGGCATGAACCATGGTGGACATGGTGGGGTGAAGGAGGGTGGATCAGGATTGCGGATTCTGAGCAAGTGATGATGTGCATGAAGACCTTTACCTTCACAAGTACTGCACAGGTCATAATCAGGACAGACTGAACATTTGAATCTTGATCCAACAACTTTCCCCTCACATCCATCACATGAAACAAGACGATGAACTTGACCTTCACTACTCACATTTGGCTCTTTCTTTGACACTACTGCATTAAAATAAGAAACATGCAATCATGGTACCGGTAATTATTTTGCTATTTTAAGAATGTCTAGTACAGTATCAGTTGGATTCAATGACATAATTTCTAAATCTATTAGTAGAATAGGATTAGCGAGGTAGCCAAGGTTCAATAAAAAGTTGTTTGTGTCTTAATGAGTATCTAGCATTAACGTTAAAAGTTGGTAAAAGATTGTACAATTTGTGGTTCGGATTGTTCAGAATAATTTCAGACAGAAATTGTGAAATCACCAATTTGGAAATGGCAACATGTAGAGAATTGTTGTAAAATTAGCTATTACAGTGAAAATACAAAAAGTGTCTCACTTCCGCTTCTGTAGTTTGTTGTGATTTACTGTAATTTGTTCTGTTTTTCTGTAGCGATTACCGATTTATCTGCAAATACTGCGATAAAATTTTAATTTCGTTCCTTTTATGCAATGAAACTAACGAAAAATGTATTATTTCCCTTTGCTACAAATTATCATATTTAAAAATAGAAAAAACTAAGTTTTATCGCGGTATTTGCCGATAAATCGGTAATCGCTACAGAAAAACAGAACAAATTACAGTAAATCACAACAAACTACAGAAGCGGAATAGTTTGACATTTTAGCAGTCACTGGCGTAGGAATGTCGCAATCCTAAATGTTTTGACATAAAAACAAGACATGTTTTTTTGAGTGAGAGGAAGCTAGATCTGCAGTTTTGGTAATAACTACCATAAGTACGGTAGTTATTTTACTCTTCCACTGTTTATATTGATTTGGTCCTCACTCTTCCCCCCACCCTTCCCCACATTGGTAATTTAAAATGCTGACATCACAAAATTTAGTTTAAATTTCTGTTATTTAATACAGCAGGAATATTAAATGATACTGTAGATTAATTAAGGTAAATTCTAAGTTTTGAAGAATTTGTAAGAAATGTTTTAGGAAACAGACTCAATGCCATAGGCGTACCGGGCGGGGGGGCGGTTTTTTGGGCAGTCGGGCAATATTCAATCAACAGTCGGGCAATTTTGGTTTGCAATAAAAAAACTGGGACAAATTCAGTCAATTTTGTCTAAAACTAAGTCAATTTTTTGACAAATTATGTGATTTTTTGAAAATTTGTGTTATGTTCCAAAAAATTTTGGTTGTCCGGAAAATTTTTTTGACCCCTAAAATGGTACACTGACCAAAATTTTTTTGGCGACGGGGGGGGGCAAAAATAATTTCTCCGGGAAAAAAATTTTGGTGCTAGTCGGGCAGAATCCCGAAAAGTCGGGCGATTTTCTTTCCGCCCCCCTAATTTTTTCCTTCCGGTACGCCCATGCTCAATGTTAAATATAGAGTCATTTCCCTCAAACATTTCTTACAAATCATTCAAAACTTAGACTTTACCCACGCAAAATTCCTACTGTGAATCTGTGATCACAGAAATAACTTTGATAGTGCATGTTAATAAACCAGCTTTTTACAAATCGACTGGATTAGACTATTATAGAGAAAGCTGTATGCAATACCTTTGACATAAACTCTGAAAAATCCTCCTTCATGTTGGGTCAGTGCTTCGATCAGTTCATCATCACTCGAGAAAACAACAAATTCGTTTTCTTCATCTGCAAAATATATACAAGTACAAAAGGTTTACGACATGCAACTTTTTATTCATATATCTGACATTCAAACTAAAATTCAAACACATAAAAAATCTGACCGAAAAAATTGTTTTCCATAACTACGCGACTTACGCTACCTTTCCAAAATAGCTGCAAATCTTCCCTCTTCAACTTAGGATAGACACTTCGAATTTTTTCTACCAAATATTCATAGTTGGTCGAAGCATCTGCATCGATACCGAATCGTCGAATCTCAGGTTCACTGCTTTTAAAGTTCAAGTACGTCTTGACAGTCACAGACATTATCAAACTTTGAAATCTTGCTTACTTTACTCTTCCTTGGATTTAGAGTGAATATAGACGATAACACGGCCACTGCTCTTTAAATAGGCAGCCACAGAAGCTTCTACATTTTCACTTTGTCATGTTTACGATATTTTGCTGTGTCATTTTGCCGTGTCATTCCAATGACTGTGCAAATTTTACTGCGTCATGGTGGACAAAATACTTAGGGAGAGGGGGAAAGTCTTTGTGTCATTTATTATTTTGCTCTTACAAATCGATGTGCTCATATATGTGCATTTATACATGTAAAAGTCCAAAAACATTTTCCTTGCTTGAAATTTCGTTATGCATGTGAACAATTTAGATAACAAGAAAACACAATATTTAGACATTTAGTCGAAATTTTACGATAACCGGTATGTTGCTAAAAATGGAGAACGCACAGGATCATGGGGCATGACTTTGGGGTTTATGACAAAGCATTATGAGGATGACACAGCATTTTGAGAATGACACAGCATTTTGAGATATTTTGGGAATGACACATCATTTTGTCATTAAATCAGACGAAGGGTCTTCGCTGGAAACGTCGACGTTCTTGTTTAATATACGGGTAGTTTGACTCTGCCGTAGTCAGTGGCTCAGGCTCAGATATGTAAAGTGTTTATTTTATATATCCAAAAATGTACAAAATTTACGCTCGAAATTTCCATCAACAAAACCCTTTAACATCTGTTTGTCTTTGTTTGGTATGGAAAACGTTCTGCTCATTCCCATCGTTGATTCTGGTCAGCGCAATGACTGATCATTGATCAATCATCAATCAACATCATCAGTTGCTTCGTAGGCTGTGAGTTGCTTATCCACAATTCACCGCTAATATGAACATGGCCAGCTTTGCCACGAGCCAAGGCGCTGTGTATTTATACCGCGCCCTGGTTTTGCCAAATTACGCGTAAAGCCTAGTTTCCATTTGGTCGTTAGTTGTCGCTGGCACGACAAACGGTGGATGTGAAATAGTCTAATATAATAATAGTTGTTTTGTGGGTTATATGCAAATCAGTCTTATAATGATTGCAGAGTTTTATAAAGTTTTGTTGACACTCTATTACATCAGCCACTTGTCGTGCCAGCGCCAACTAACGACCAAATGGAAACTAGGCTTAAGGACAGTGAAGACGTAATGATCACATTAGCTAGCAGGTTCATTGTTCCTATAATTCAGTATACTCGGATTTGCGCTGCAGACGCAGTACTATATACTCTATAGTTTACATGACTATTTGAAAAAGTGCAGACTCATGACAAGAAATTGCAATTATGAAGATTTCAAAAGCGTGTTCGAGTTTCGACCTACCAACTATATAGAGTTCACTAAGCCACTGAGTTGTTCAGTAATCCAGACAGAATAGCATAAATCAGCGGGAGAAACTTATATCAAGGGAATTGCTCTAAATTGATTAGAGTCAAAACCTCTCCAAATATTAGAGGTGATTTCAAAACTAAAAGATACTAGGATAGAAATATTAGAGCAATAATAGGCGACTGTTTTCTCGGGCTACATCATGACATCATATCCGCAGCCCGTAAATGACGCTGGCTGAGTCATGATCCGCTCAATGCTGATTACAACAGTTCTCAAGAATTGTGGAATTTGGATGATTTTAATTTAAAATTGTATGTGATTGTATAGGTATTTATACAGACTTGATAAGGGGTATGTCATCCGACCTATAGCAAAGTTCCTCGACACTCTTTTATACATAGAGGATATTACACGGCGGCGCGAAGATGACTATTATCTTCTAGTGGTGGAAACGGCAATATTTTACGAACGAGCGCAGCGAGTGGGTAAAATATTGTTTTTAACACGAGAAGATAAAAGTCATATCTTCAAGTCACCGTGTAATGTTCTGTTTATTATATAGTCCCAAGCAAAAAATTGTACAAATATTAAAAGTTACATGATCGATATCTTCACTAGTGAAGATATGGAGAATATCTCACTGACACTGTGTATTTTTCAGTATCTCACTCTCTACTATGTAATAAAATCTATTACAAATGTCTAAGAGTAGTAAAGTTTAATAAGCACAGTGAGGTGTACATATCAGAAATATGACTATTGTTAACTCATGCTATCAACTATAATAACATGTTGTTTTGTGTCACAAATTATTACAACGTGAAGTATATAGGCTATAGCATGGATCGATCGAAACTTCATGACCTGCGATTTTTCATCGCGCACAATTGAAATTTTGCTCATAGTAATATTCGAGGTAATATTTGAACAGTGCATGGAAAAAGATAGACTTTCGCAGTTTCCAAACCATGTCTTAAATATGGCGTGACTATTCCAAGTGTGACAACCTACCCAGACCCTTGTCTGCATTCTTCTAAAGCTGACTCATTCAATCTCTCCTGAAATATTCAAATCATATTCGCGGTTGCTTTAATTTGTTTTCTCTAATATCGAAGACTTGTTTAAGTCGTCGACCTTCTTAAAGTGGTGAAGAATATTTATATTAGTAACATTTTAAAGGATTCTAATAATTTAAAGTTGCGAAGTTATATGAGACAAATGGGCAGGATAAAACACTGTAGGATAGTGTATCCATCATGACCAATCATGCGATGCCAGTGATAACCTCGTTCCCAATTAGCTCTATACGCTCTTGTGCCAATGACATTAAGTTCCTTCTGAGTACTACATCTGGCATTTTATCCATATATCGATAAAAGCATAGTGCCTGTAAGGAGACTTGAAAATGCTTTCTCACGATGACGAATATCCGCCATTTTTGAGTGGCATCTAATTCTCGTTAACCAATGCAGACAATTAAAACAATGTGAAAAGCAACTTTTCAAAATAAATTAACCATTTACAAAGCAAATTTACCACCATTCGTCCAAAAAATTATAAAAAGTCGCTCTTATGTGGACATATCTCGCATGTAGACTTCGGCTGAAAAGCCGCCCAAAAATGGCGGCGTGAGAAATAATTCACAAAACTTCTGGATTTCAAGGAATACCTGCAACATTCGGATTGTTTTTATTATATTTACAAAGACCACTTCTACAATAATAATGGGTTGCAATACTATTAGCAAAACAAGGACAGATACAGTATGATTTAAATAAAATAATTCCCAAGTTGAGATTGTTTGATGTCAACAAGCACGATTTACTCGGCAGTTTCAACTGGTTTTGTTTGTTCAGTGTCCGTAACATCAGGAATAACCTCGTTTTCATTTTGTTCAGGATCTTGTTCAATTTTAATGTCCTCATCACTCCCGTGATAGTCAACGACTTTCTCCAGAGAGAAATTTCTTGGAATTGAAACAGATGCCGCAAAGACATCTTTCCGAGATCGTTTCCAGTGCAATAATTTATCAATATTCTGAGTACTTGTAGTATCCATAGCCTGACTTAGACCAAACATGACTAAGTTGGCAATAACAATTCCATATTCCGTACGAACTAACTCCTTATTTTCTTCCTCCTGCATTTTCTTCGTCAGTTTATAAGCTTTCTCAATGTACATTGCCGATTCTTCATACTTACCCTAAAATTTCAATAAAATGACATAATGAATAATTGGAGCCCAGCATCGGCTATGATAATTGAAGATCTCAGGTGTGCAAAGTGACCTAGGGTGTTGGCTCGAGGCAACAGTTTGATCAGGGCGGCCTGAGTTCGACAAACCGTGCACGTGTCGGAACAATTGTAATCTCTGGGCTATCAGGTTAGCTGCACCGACGACGGAGTGTCACATGTAACAACCAGTACCTTGCACGGGTCATGCGTTGTGGGTCATATTCTTATCGCTTTCATCATTCCTGCCTCCTTGTTTTAGCTCCTAGTTTCAGGTTACTGAACGAATATTATTCAGACTCCTGTATTTTATGTACTTCATTTTAAAGACTAAGTACACCCTCATACGTTACGTTTGTACCAGCTCAAGTACTCGGGAATAATCATTGAAGTACCAGTCAGGTACGACTAAAAATCGAATTATCGCACCCTGGTAAGAGCTTTCGGACACATGGAATTGACTCCAACATTCCTTAGTCTCATCTCATCAGTCCAATCATGTTTAATGCCAACTCATGTCAGACCATGTGGTCAGACTTATAAATATTCCGACTAAATTATGGTTTTTGAATAACTTGGGCTTGGAAACGTCAAATGGAACAAGCTGAAAAAAGGCGGTGCTATTAGTATCATGCAGAGCGTATTTAAATATTGCATGGTTTATCGCATCCTGCTTACAGACCTGAAAATATAGACCACCACGTAATCATTATTAATCTCCAAAAAAGCAAGAAAATCCCGAGAGCGAGGTTGCAAGGGTCTGTAAATTAGCCATTGGTACCTTAATTTCCTTGCCCATTATCCATTAGAATACTCACTATAAAATAATGACAAAACATACCAAGGTATTGAGCATTTCTCCAATGGCTGAACACGCTCTCTGCTGTTCTCTGAAGTCACCAGATTTCTCGGATAGCTCCACAAACGATTCGAGATTTTTCACGGCGGATTCTATGTCCATTTGTCTGAATGAATGAAAATATAGAAAAGCTCAATACACGTATAATTAAATAATTAAACACACGCGGTCAAAGTTCATTTAAGTTTCGTTTTAATGTGTGGTTTACACATCTGCATCCAGGACAGTTTATTTGTAAATGAAAATTTGAACAAAGTTCTTTATATGATAATGCGTTAACACGTTAACACATGAACAACCCGAGGGTACATTCGATCTTTTGGTTAGAATTTTACCCATAACCCAAAATGAGATTGGAAGCAATATTCAAATGTATGAACACTTACTTTTCATAAGATTTAGCCAAAGCTCGGTGCGCTTTTCCCATTCCAGTAACATCTTCGTTTTCTTGACAGACATTTAAATATTCATTGTGATACTGAACAGAAAAATACAAAGAACATTTTAAAAAATGTCCGTGGGATAGTTTAATGAAGACGTGATGGTTTCTGATCATATATTAGAATGATTAAGATTTGACTTCCACTAAACCACTACCTCTCATTGGCTTAGAACACATCTATAAATGGTTAGTCACATACATCCAACGCATCTGATTGGTTAATGGTCTCTTAATGGTAGCAGTATAGTGGAAGTCAAATCTGAACCTTTCTAATTACTGTAAAAGAGTGAAATAAGGAATTACCAGTAACGCGGTTTCTGCATCATCGTTATCCAGGTAAGCACAACCAAGCAAATAACTTGCATCACCTCGCCCTTCAAGATCATCACCTGGAATGTGACATTGCGTTTAAAACAGTGACGTCACAGTCTCGTTTACAGTGAGCTCCATATATATACCTGGAGCGACAACTTGAGTTTAAAAGTGAAGCCATAACTGAGATGGATGTCAGTTTCAGTTTTCTATTGTTTTTGTCTGCGCATTCTGCAACGAGTGTGCCGAATTTTTGTACTTTGACTTCGATTTAAAGAATAATATTGGTTTTATGAACTGGTATATAGCCTATTTAGCGATAGTATGATCCATTAGAAAAAAACTGGAATAACGGGAAAACTGGGAAAAATGGTATTTAAACTGTTTACGACCTTCATAGATATTGGACGTCAATTCTGCCATCTTGGCTTCACTTTTCTCGTAGGCCGAATGACTGAAGTAATATTTCAAATCCGACTATGAGAACTGGACTAGATTTCAAGTCCGCGCAATTTGATCAAGCCCGAGACGAAGCCGCGAGGACTGGATCAAAATGCGAGCACTTGAAATCAAGTTCAGTCCGAATTGGAAGATTTGAAATGACATCTCATGCGAATAAATCACTACTTAATTAGTTTGGATCCGGTCCAAGGACTGAATTAATTTTGATCCAGTCCTAGGACTGGATCAATGTACTTCATCAGGTATCCAGTATTATCATGTGAGCAAAATAAAGCAATATGGCTGGCTAATTTACTCATGAATTATTAATGAGTTTGAGATGTTCTTGCTCTAGATGCACCAGTGAATTTTTCAAAATCTTTGAGTTTACGAGTTTTCAAAGTCAAGAGTTTATGTTGTTCCAAATTGCACGAGAAACCATACTATGATTTATTGATAATGCAGGATAAAATTATGGAGAAGCAAATTTATATAGTGACTTAATTGCATGCATGAAACACATGCAAAATAAATAATTCACTCCATGACATGCACTCATTTGAAAGGCACAACAATTTAATACAAGATTTTAACTGTCAAAAATCAAAATGGCACCGTATTTTGATAAAATTGTATACTGCTCTTAGCCAATCAGAACTGAAAAAAGTGAAGTGCGCGACCGCTGTTCAGGCTCTGCTATAATACGACAGATGTACACCAATATAGAAACCTGAGTCACAAGCATGCAGATTATCTTAGATTTGAAACATACCTTCTTTCGCAACTTTATAAGCTTTCAATAAGTAAGCAATACTTTCTGAAGGGTCTGAGGTTTTCAGCTAAAATTGCGAATACATACACAGGTAAGTATAAGATATGATGATACACATGCAGTACAATAAGAAAGACTTGTCAGCAAGATAACTCTGAACTGCTTGTCCGGGGAATGCCAAAGGTGCGAGTTTAAGACTGTGGACACGGTAACGTTTCCGGGCGTTTCTAAAAAGTCGTTTCCAATCTTGTCAGTTTGACGCTCTGTCGACACAGAAACGTTTTCAGGGAATGCAAATATTTGTCTCGACAAAATTCCATCTCTCGCGGCTTCTTATCACCCTTTATTTCCACCAGATGGAGTCATTACTTGTCAACGAGTTTCTTAAAATGTCCTCTGCTCATTATAAATTAAACAGCTTTATATGTATGTTCAGCATCACCAATATACCATGTCTGTCGCTTCTTCGAAAGCAAACCACAGTTTTAAATCGTTCATAAATCATTATACACTTGAAAGGCTATATATTTTGTTTTATTTGTTGCTAAAGTTTTTAATTTAAGAATTAATGATATAACAATGAAAGATCTAAGCTTCCAGGAAACAAGAATATTTTTTATTTTAAGCCGCTATCTTGGATTTTTAGCGTTTCAACGCGAAAACGCTTGTCCGAAAACGTTTTTTAGCATTGCAAACGTTTTCGTCATAATACGTCGTTTTCGTCCGTTTTCGTGTGGACACGGCTTGAAAACGACACTTTTTGAAAACGTTAGAGCTGAACACGCTCGAAAACGTCAGCGTGTGGCATAGTCTAAATCTCACTCGAGCTAACTGTACTTGTCCTTCAGGCTTCAGCACAGCATGTATAATATTTTATAATTATTTAGAATTTTTAATGAGGTTAAATAGATTTAAGCAAGGTTAACGGCAGAGGTATTATGCATGCATGTTGACTTCCGTTTGGGGGAAGCCCATGACGTCACAGTCGTTAAGGGGTTCGTGGCGCCTTATAACCCTTCGAGGCGCCCTGGTCGGATCAATTGCATGTTCTTGCCTTGCCTTTTTGCAATAAGTTGCGCTTGTTTCCCCATTACCCCTTCCCCCACCCAATTTTTGTTTTGTTAAACTTTGTTAGTTCAACAAGTACAATGTATAGATCACTATAGATTGTATTTTTCCATTGACTTGTCATGCAGTGTGACAGGTGCCGGCGGGATGACTTGGCAGAATTGTCATGGCTATTTCACCGGTTGCTGTTATAATTGTTGCTGCTCTGTTGCTACTGTAATCTGTTGCCATGTCAATACGTCTTGCCAGCAAGACGTTGCAGCCTTCGACCACAAACGGCACCGACCTCCAAACACTAATACTATGCCGTTAATATTCTCTAAAGATGGTTTTGCAATAAACTAGATGCATGAAGTAAATACCTGCATCGCCAGAGTGGTGTAAACATTTTGAAGACTTTCACACGCCATTGAAAAAAGAGTTCTGCCAGTATCTTCCATTTGCCATAAGCGACCATTTGTCAAAGCATAAAAATGTTCAAAGCACTGCATTGCTTCAATGTAATACTCTATTAAAATAGAGAGATAGCATTTTTTTATTTCATCACGAATTTCGATGCTATTTTATTCATTCTTGCAATACTATAATTTCTCGTAAAGACAGTTAAAATTGGGATTACGGTGTGGGAGTAATCTAATAGAACTAATCAGGAACAGAACTGTGAAAAATACAACTTTAGGTTCCCTGGCAGGAATCGAACCAGCGGCCCTGCGATTCCAGTGCAGCGCTCTAACCAACTGAGCTACAGAGGCCATTGTCGAGCTCTAACCAACTGAGCTACAGAGGCCATTGTCGAGCTCTAACCAACTGAGCTACAGAGGCCATTGTCGAGCTCTAACCAACTGAGCTACAGAGGCCATTGTCGAGCTCTAACCAACTGAGCTACAGAGGCCATTGTCGAGCTCTAACCAACTGAGCTACAGAGGCCATTGTCGAGCTCTAACCAACTGAGCTACAGAGGCCATTGTCGAGCTCTAACCAACTGAGCTACAGAGGCCATTGTCGAGCTCTAACCAACTGAGCTACAGAGGCCATTGTCGAGCTCTAACCAACTGAGCTACAGAGGCCATTGTCGAGCTCTAACCAACTGAGCTACAGAGGCCATTGTCGAGCTCTAACCAACTGAGCTACAGAGGCCATTGTCGAGCTCTAACCATAAGTTCATGTACATATACTAGGGTATTGCCACGTGTAGGTTATCCACAGGTTCTATTCCTGCCAGGGACCTAAAGTTGCATTATTCGCTTCTGTTCCTGGTTAGGTCTAATAAATATATATAAATTTACACTCGACAATTTCCATCTACAATACCCTTCAAATAATATTCAATCGAGTGACGCCAACAAAATCTTGGTAGTCAAAAGAAACACTGCATTATCATGGGCAATGTAAATATTTGTACGAGAATTCCTAGCCTCCTAGCTCCGACACAGGTAACCCTTATTGAGATGCCTGGCGGCCATGTATGTTATATTATCAAGGATGTCTAATGTTCAAACCTTGTTTTTCATAGGTCACACCCATGTTGAAGTTCGCCTCAGCTTCTTTTCTTCTGCCATCTCCTAGAACTTTCACACTCGCCTCCAAACACAGTTTGTAAAAATGATTGGAAAAAGAAATATCTCCAGACTGTTCAAAATATGTTGCCAAAGTCAGATAGCAACTGTACACCACGTCCATTTTACCTAGAAATGGTCAGAATAACAACATCGTGTTATATTACAGTACGTTTTACACAGTTCAGCAATGCTGTATAAAACTTACTTATTTTTTGGAAGTATTTACAGTTACATATTAGTCAAAAAGGAACTTTATAATATAGCATTTGTAAATTCTGAACGCTGATTGGCTAAGAGCCGTGTTGATATAACTCAATGTCAACACGGAAAATCTCTTTGTGCTATATTATAAAACAAATATAAAACATTTTTTCCGTATTGATATAGAGTTTTAAAGTTTGTTCGTTCACTGCAACCAGGTGTATCAATCACGTTTCGCTCGCTACTCTGGTTTAAATAAATGATTACAAAGCCCAGTCGAATTGTAATCAAGACCCAACGTTTCGACACTCCAGTCTAGTGTCTTCATCAGGGGTGATCTAAAGATGCAATCGTGGCTTCTTAAATACCCAAGGGATGACGTCAAGTTCAAGTTCAATTTATTTCACACTATTTGGCAAAAATATTACATTGGAAGAGATACTCATGCATACTGTATATATATTTGGTATAAGGACATTAAAAAGTTTTAAATTATGATATTGAAATTGTGCTCGGTGACCAAAGTAGCATAAGCTTTCGAGTTGGCCACCGTCTACTTTTGATTTATTAGGTAAATTTTTGAGCTAATTGCATATATCTCATTACTATTTGGATTTTACAGTCAATAAATTGAACTCTTGGTCGAAAGAAAAGAAAGAAAAGTAGCCGAAAGAAAGTTAGCATAATACACAAAAATAAAGCCATTTTATGATTAACTTAATCATTAATTACCTCGGGTCGGTACGACACCGAGGTCATAAATTCGGCTCCTATTTTTTTTTTCCATTTTGTGTCGAGCCGCGCGCGTAGTCGAAGAGCCTGCGGAGGAGACGACAACTTCCGGTAAATAAGTGTACTTCCGGGAAATTTCAAGCATCGGCCAAAAAAAGCTAAATGTCCATCCATCTCACGTTCTACCGTGAATTGGATGGACGGCTCAATAAAATTTAAATGTTGCAGCAGAACATCGATTTCATTTCTATAGTAACCGCAGAAATGACATCATCGACGAATTGCTAATTTAGTAATGGAAGATGTCGAACAAAGGGCTTTAGCCTCTGTTCCGTTTATCATTTTGGAAACGTTTCGTCGATTATGTCATCTCTGCGGTTTCTAGAAATGAAATCGATATTCTGCTGCAACATTTAAATTCTATTGAGCCGTCCATCCAATTCATGGTAGAACGTGAGATGGATGGACATTTAGCTTTTTTAGATTTGAATGTGCACAGAACTGTCGAAGGGAAGTTATATATACAGTGCTGGAAAATGTCCGGCAGCGCCAGCAGTACCGCTGCCGGGAAATTTTTTAACAAAATATCTTCCCAGGAAATTTTCTTGCACTTTGCAGGAAATTTTTGTCATCTTATATACAGGAATGCCATATAATTCACTTATTGTTTGAAAATTCCAAATTAAGCATTTTGCAAGTCGAGATGTGCGGCATCATATTCCACACGTTCTCTGAAATTTTCATTTTATAGTTGACTTACACAGGAAATTTTAATTTTTGAATTTTGCTGCCAGAAAGATAAATATATTTTCTAGGCCTGCAAAACATGTTGTAACATAAGGCTTCTTTACAAGTTTACTCGTTCTAAGGTATATTATAATACACCACTTTTAGCATTTGTGCATGACGGGTTTGCGGTTGCCCAACTTGCCCGTAACTATCGCTGCATGTCGAAAATCTTCCTTTATATGAGAAACTATTCATTCTCGTATACACTATTAAGTCGACGAAAGAAATATAGGCCTATTGTCATTGTGAACGTATATACTCGCAAAAAAGCCGACCCCTAGCTTATAAATAAAATCAGTTTATAGTTTAGTTTGTTTAGGAAGACAATAAAATTTGGCAAGAACTACAATCTAGACAATACTCATTAAGTAACACAAATCATTTCAACAATATTCAGTTGAATCAATTCATACTTAATTTAGGCAAATCATGAAATAATTTACTGCTGAAAATTAACCTACTGTACCTCTGCGTTTTGCTGCTTCGGCTGCTGTGAGATGAGCTTTCATTTGTTCAAGTTTTTCTGGTTGATCTTGAACCAATGGTTGATCTTGCAAGCCTGAATCTGGTCCTAATTTTTGTTGTTGTTCTTTTTCATGTTTCATTAAATTAAAGAGTTCACAAAACGAATGATGGAAACCATCCTTCAACATATCCAAGCACAAGTTATGCATATAAGAATTCCGGTACCTGATAGAACAAACGATTGAATATAATATGAAGCAAGTATATAACTCTGAAACAGTGGTAAACTAGGTTTTTGCAAAACTTTCTTTTCATTTAAACAACCTCCAAGCTAAAGCAATTATAAGACAAACAGTGAAAATGAGAGGCACTCTTAACACGAACACGAGGATAGTGTGTGTATGAAGGGAGCAAGCCTCGTTTTCACGTTTTGTCACCATTAATTTGTTTTATATTTAGCCCCTCGATGGTACTGGAAAGCTTGTCTTATCAAGCCAAAAGTTGGTATATAGAACACGTCATTTTCGCCTCCAGCAGCCGCAGTCCTAAATCTGATATGAAATGGGTTGTGCATGTGCATAGAACAGAGACAGGAAAGTAGGTCTATACTAAGGATATAGTCTATGGAGCGATTAGCGAAAAGATAAATGGTTATATAGACAGTGTAAAAAATCTAAATATTAATTTAAGAACGTACATGCATGACGTGACAATGGGGAGTTTGGCAACTGGCAACGCCTGAAAACAGAATTACTTGATACATTTTTGTATTCGAGCCAAAGGATATATTATACTAAAGTTTATTCACTGAATAATTTTGTGTTTTTAATTTAAATCAAGAATCACTATATAATCAATATATATATATAAAAACACGCCGTGAGAATAATGTAAATATCGTAGCAGTTTAGACAAAGGGGCGTACTAGAATGCTCAAAGAAATATGATTTATAGTCGTCTTTGTCTTAGAGCAAAAATTCTAGTGTTGATGATCACGTATTCAATAGAGAGGTTAAGATACCCCGGTTTCGGTGTACGGGTACGAGTAGCATGATTTTGGTTAGCAATATTTTCGTCGATGTCTGTACCTTTACTCGTAATTAAGGTTACAGGACACCCTTTTTGGCGTTTTGCGGAAAATCGCTACTGCGCGCTCAATATCAGTCCGATTTTAATCAAATTTTCACCAAATGTTCGCCAGTGTATGCAAAATATGGTAAAGTTGTAAAATTAACAAACAATAAAATAATATAAGAATTATTCAGAAAAATCTTAAATCGCGGTACCGTTACGCTTTTGAGTTGTGCTCCTGCTGGTTTTAAGTTATATTTATGAAAATATCATTTTTATACAGTAAAATAGTTGTTCTAAAAAATTGTGTTCGGAATTTTTTGTTTATTTCGTCATTCCGCTGATAGCCAGATTTCTTTGACGACTGCAATATATTTCTGAATTGTTTGAGTGAATTGCTCTGATTATTAAAATATCCAAAATTAAAAAAAAGCCGAACACAAGTTTGAAACTGACGTCTTTAGCTAAGTCCTGTGAAAATTTGAGAAAAATTGGTCAAAACCCGCAGGAGCACAACTCGTTTGAAAATCAGTAATTACCGTAAAATTCTTCGGGAGAAAATTGAATTTGAATATTACATTTTCAATGTTTTTCTTATTGCAGCGAAATGTATTTTATTAAATAACTCTGCGAGTTTTCAACATTTTTCGTCCAAACTTGGTCAGATAGTAGAACTAGTCTAATGCTTTCATGGAAACCAATAAAAAAATTTTAGGCAAAATTAACCCTCAAAGGTGTTCTGTAACCTTAAGGTGCACATTTTTCGCATTATACCATTGTCTATTGCAAGAAAACAGAAAAAGTATGATCGAATTACAGACATCAGTAAAACAAGATGACACTACTCGTACCCGTACACCGAAACCGGGGTATCTTAACCTCTCTACTGACGTTGTAGCTCGCGTGCAGGCCCAAGGGAAGAATATTCCAACTATAATACCCTCTATAATTCCATCGGGCTATTGACGTTGCGGGGTATTGACGGGGCTATTGACGTTGGCTATTGACGTTGCCGTTGTATTCGCCAAACTCATGCACTATTGAGCAGGGGTGGAGACGTAAGACGGATTAAGACCTGACCAGCCGACACTGCATGAGTTTAGATCCTGCGGATGATGTAAAAGAAGACGAGATTGAAGATAATTATTGAATTATTAATCAAAGGGTGATCAGACGTCTAATAACATAATTAAGGGTAAAAACCTATAAGTAAAAAATGACATGCAATGAATAGAAAATGGAGCTGTTATGTCTGAGAAGTATAAACACCTCAGTCGACACTGATTGATTAAAGCACAACCTGATATAACTGAAATTCAGAAAATATCACTATCAGATTACCCTGGTCACCAGAGGTTGATCCATGCTCGCAGGCATACACCGCACAATACACAGTTAACTAGGCGAGCTAGAAGAGCGAGTCAGTCTGTTACTATTTTCTGCGAGGGTGCATGGTCAAACCACTGGCACCCAGGGTACTGTCAGATAAATACATTCATAAAATAATAACCTTTCCGTTTCTATCTTCGTGTTCACGGATTTCTCATCATTTCCAGAATCTCGTTTTCCTTTCACGAACGCATTTGGTCGTTTTTTTGTTACAATGGCACCAAGTTTAGCTGGTGATGGCAGTTGTTGTAACATTTGTTGTGTCACATGTCCTCCAACACTTGACAGAGATGGAAGACGAGCTACTGAAGCCATGTTTGGTGGCTTATAATGGCCTGCATGAAAAAACATGAAGAAACGATTCTTGTTCAAAATATTTTACATCTATTTTGCTTTGCCCCTCCCACTCCTACCACAACACAAATAAATGGTCACGTGAGTTTGTTCGTATGTGTTGTACCTGATATGGGCCCACCTACTGACAAAATTTTGAACTGCTTGCAAATGTGCGAGGAAATGAGGTGTATACATGTGTGTGAGTAGTGGGGTATTCTAAGCATAGTGAGATATCTTAAGCAGGTAACTTTAAATCAAGCTAGATTGCGGCGACTTGTGTTTGGCAAACTGTAGTTTAGATCAAAGTTTACATGCTGCAGTCGAGCACAGCGCAGTAAAATAATTGCGACAACAAATACACATTTTACTGAGTGATGGTATAAGATGGTGTAAAAAATACATGTAAACGTTCGAGTTCAAATACACGTGCCGTTATGTATTGTTAGAAATAAAGGTTTGCGTCAGATAATGAATCTTCCTTTATAAATAAATAGATTCTCTTTGTGACGCACTTTAAATTCTTGTATGAAGAGTTACAACATCTGATATCAGCTGGCTGTTGAAACAAATATCAAAGTTAATAATCAAACCTATACGCTTTCATTACTTTTTGTTTTCAGCCAAATACAACATACGTATGCAGTGCTTTCGCTATCTGCCCACTTACATTTTGATGAAAAGATGTATCACAATATTTTATTAAACCATGCAATTATAAATAACTTCTTTTGTGGCGTCATTTTAATTCTTTAGTCTAGTTAATTAATATAGATTCAAAGAACAAAGCATGATTTATCAAGGTATATTAATTTTTTCCCGACAAAACAAACTCTGTGATGACTATTGCTTAAAAACATTAAAAAAAAGTACTCTGTGCACGCACTACGATATGTGGACTTCCTCCTTCAGATTCTTTTGTGACGCGCTTTAAATTCACAAGCATGAGCCTGGTCTTTCCCGGATTTCAATGAGTTAAGGGAATTTTTGGGATTTTTCACGGCGTAAATAAACAAAGGACCTTATACACGGAAACGCCAAATGATATATACCAAGTACTTTTTCAAGGAAACAGTTTCACATATTATGGCAAATCAATATAATGGGACAACCGGTTCCTCTTATAGTTATCTTCAATAATTTGGCAAACTAACAGCTCTAGGGACAAGACTCTAGAATTAGAAATTGGCCCATCTATTTAATGATCCATATTTCAACCTTTCGCATTGCCGCCAGATTAATGAACTTTAATGACCTTTATTACAGGATTACACAAATTACTGGTAAACCAGTATTTTACATTGTGGTCCAAAAATATATATATTAGTTTAAATTACAATATCTACATATTTCAATTAGAATGTCTGTGTGACCAGAAAATGATCACAACTTTCATTTACTAAAAGTGTTTTATTAACTAAGTGTTTTTTAAATTTACCTAACCCACTAATATTCATACTGTCTATCCACATTAAGTTCATTCCAGAGACGAACAGCACTAGCATGAAAACAACGAAGTCCAGATCTTGTATGGCATTTCGGTACAACTAATTTCATATTAGAAGATGCTCTAGTACAATATTCATGTCGATTCTTAACATAACTTACATAGTTATCAAAATACTGTGGACACATTTTATTGATTATTTTATACATCATGCACAATTTATGTACACGAATAGTGTCATCTATGGGAAGCCACTTTAATGAATTAAATAATGCAACTGAATTATCAGATGGATTCGCATCAATTTACATCCATTATCGTGATCACATATCACAGCATATGTTGTTTTGCAACAGTGAGATCTTCAAAATACACCCACACACACGAAGATGCTGAGTGTGAAGTTTAAAACAAGGAAATCCAATTCAAAAGAATAGTCGGGGGTAATTGCATGTACATTGTAGTACAGGATGGCAGAGATAATTCTCTCGTGGGCGTTGACCGGTCAGAAATCACATATGATCGGTCACAATTGGAACTGACCAATATGAAACATAACATGAAACATTATTTTGAGCCCTGTTTTGCATTTCATACCGTTAGTGATTTGTCTTTATCTTTCCCAAACAATGTTAAACATAAATTATCACTTAAAGAGGGGGATAAGTCCCTTCTGCGCATGTGCCCGGCGTTTGTTTACAGGGGACTCCACCGGAAATGAACCTCTCGTTTCCAGTCCCATAATTGGCGATATACACGCGAGATGTTTATATTCCACATGAGGTGATGAGGAGTGAATGTAAAATATTTATATAGAATTCGAAAAGGTTTCAACAAATTTGCGACTTTTATGAAACCAAATCCACCTATTAGTAAATTATTGAAACATATAAAACAACAAGAGAACAGGGAAAGAATATTACGCCGACAAAGCTGCCCTAAAAGTGCGTTTGTGCGATATTCAGTGCAGCACGCTGTGAATACCTGTGATCAAATCGACATGTGCTGTTGTCTGCTACGATGTCTTTTATATTCAGGTAAATGTTTTGTTTATACTTGGGTTTTAACTGTTGTTAAATAGTAATTTTGGTCAGAAATTCTATGCTGGGATTCTATTGCATTGGATTTATATGCTGACTATGTATTTAATATTTATTTATCAGATCTGATCGAATATTCGTCCCCGGCAAAGAAAGTCAAGAGATTTGAAACCATAACTACAATAGTACAATTTACTGTTAATATTTTTATTGATGCGCTATTATTCAAGACGGCTTCATAACTTTATTTTTATTTCTACATTTATTTTACTATATACAATTGTTTGTAATCTATAACCAGATATCTGAATATAAATCTTTATATTAACATTGTATGTCATTTCACATAGCATGATTGTTGTATAAAATTATCGAACTTTCAAGCTAGATAAATTTTTGTATATGCATGCAAAGTTTTATTTTAGTATTGGAAAACTTTCATACTGTAGGCTGAAACATAGTAGCATGAGGTATATAGTCATTATCATGACAGTTGAGTTGCCTTGGAACTCTTACGATTTTGTGATATACACCCACAGTACATGAAGTTACACCTCAGGAAGTAAAAAATATATGACAACTGTATAATCTTTATAGTTACTATATTATTTTTTCATTAAAAGCAATGCATGGTAGTATCTTTTAGCATTCTGGAGTTGAAAATGAGCTTCAATATCACAAGATTTGTCTTGTGATATATTGGAATTTGTATTGGAATATATGTCTTGAGATCTGACAACTCAGAACTGCCATTAATTAAATTATTAACACTAGCTGACATTGTACATTATATTATTTTATACCACGATATTCTAGTAAGAAGTGTATCCAACATACAATAGTGAAATCAAATGTTGACTAGGCAACAACCCTTCTATTATTTCATCTGCCATAAATTCCCTATTTTCCCCCCTCTAAAATAGATGTAAGTCCCCACGGCCTCACTCACCTTTCTAAAACTGAAATGTATTACCCCCCCCCCCCCCCATATCAATAGCTAGAGGATTTACGGTAAGGCACAGTAGCTATGACATTGTCATATAGCATCCTGTTTGTATGCTGCATGTCAGATGTTTTGCATGCATGTTTATGTTGTTAGGGGCGACGTCCATATTCAAGTTGCCACGCAAAATGTCAAATTGACGTTTTGCGTGGGTGGGTGGGTTAAAACTGTAGTGCTGTGACGTTTTTACCGTGGCAATATGAATATTTTCCAAAACTACAACGCTATATGTAGAATATATATTAAAAATAACCGTCAATATTTATTAAAATAGTATCAATACGCGATGGAAAAGTTAATATATTTACACTATTTTATCAATATTGCATATTAAAAAAGAACTTACTTGGTAGAATTTTTGTCTTTCTTGTTTCCTACATATTTATATACGTTTATAATATTAACCCAGAGGATATATTAAAAGGTATATATAAAACTTTGATAGTTGGAGCGTTCAAACCCAATCTAAGTTTTGAAATATTCATTACGTCACACTTGACGTTTTCAAGGGTGGGTGGGTGGGTTGTCATAAAAACGTCAATTTGACGTTTTGCGTGGCAACTTGAATATGGACGTCGCCCCTTATTTAAAACAAGAACATCTCGATAATGCCTGGCAATTATTGTTTCAGAACATTTGTGCCAAAAACATTTTGTTTGAATTACAGTGTTCTTGATGGGGGTTCTTGATGGGAGTTCTTGATAGAGTTCAGTCTTGTCCTCTTAATAATTATGCAATATCACCTTCATTTAGAAAAACACTTATTCCTTCTTGTGTTGGTATGGGTACAAAATGTATACAGTAGCCCCAGCTATGAAGATTTCCATCTGATTGTTGAATTTGGTGGTGGTAACAGTCCGGGACACCGAGAGGTTGTGTGGGGTACAGGGAAAAACTTTCCCACGGGTCCCTATGTCATAATTGTAAAACTGGAGAAGCAGTGTTTTATAATATATTGCACTTTATTGCATATTATCATTTATCCACCACTGACACAGCTAGGATTTATATTATTGGTTAAGCAATCTTGTATCAAGAAAATTTAAGGGACTTTGGGGGGGGGGGGGCTTTAATCTGAGGTCCCATTAATCTGGGGTCCCATCACTCCCAAGCCCAAAATGCCCCCCCCCTCTCAGCGGCACTCATTACAGTCAGCAACCCGTTTGAATTTCACCATTAGCTTTATCATTCGATGTTTTCTCCACAGATAGTCTTGAACATTTACATCTTACACTAAATCCTGTCATGCATAGAAAGGCTCAAAATTAAAGAATGCAGTCAGACTATAGGTTTGCCTCTTTCAGAGATCTTCATGCTTCATGCTATTAACCGCTTGTCCCAATCGCAATCTGCCTTTATAATGTTTGAGAAAGTGTCCTAATGCATGGAAGCATGGTTAATTGCATAATTTACAATAGCATGAGAAATGGCAAAGACAAGGCTGCTGCTAGCAATGGGGAAAAAAGTCAAAACTTGTTTTGTTCACCATTTCAATCTTTGCAAATAAAATAATTATATATGCTTTAAGAATTTAGCTATATATAACCAGGACATGCAGTTGGTTTAAAATATTGTCCAACTCGTATATCAATTTTATAAATTGTAGATGAAAATATATCTACTAACAATTCAAATGCGGTATATATTTTGTGCAGTATTTACGAAAGATAAGCTCTCATATATCGTTAATCCATGCAAAAACATGCAGACTAGAATTTATCAACAACAAACAACATATAAACCATTAAACTTACTGTTGTGTACTCCATATTGTCAGCTTGTTGTTGAGTAAAGAGCAATCAGGCATTGAGCAATTCATATTCGGTTGATCATACTTCATGCATGATTCGGCGTGTTTATCACGCTATGCGGTTCAAAAGGAAAATTATTCAAACTTGTACAAGTCAAAAGTTTCTATATTTCTCATAAAAAGCAGGCACCACCACACAAACAAGTGAACTATATAAAGTTTCGCTCATTTCAATCGCCATGTTTGATAAAATATTGTTGTAAAATGCCAATACTTCATGTTATAACATGTGTAATGTATCAAAACATAAACAAACGCCGGGCACATGCGCAGAAGGGACTTATGTGATAATTTATGTTTAACATTGTTTGGGAAAGATAAAGACAAATCACTAACGGTATGAAATGCAAAACAGGGCTCAAAATAATGTTTCATGTTATGTTTCATATTGGTCAGTTCCAATTGTGACCGATCATATGTGATTTCTGACCGGTCAACGCCCACGAGAGAATTATCTCTGCCATCCTGTACTACAATGTACATGCAATTACCCCCGACTATTCTTTTGAATTGGATTTCCTTGTTTTAAACTTCACACTCAGCATCTTCGTGTGTGTGGGTGTATTTTGAAGATCTCACTGTTGCAAAACAACATATGCTGTGATATGTGATCACGATAATGGATGTAAATTGATGCGAATCCATCTGATAATTCAGTTGCATTATTTAATACATTAAAGTGGCTTCCCATAGATGACACTATTCGTGTACATAAATTGTGCATGATGTATAAAATAATCAATAAAATGTGTCCACAGTATTTTGATAACTATGTCAGTTATGTTAAGAATCGACATGAATATTGTACTAGAGCATCTTCTAATATGAAATTAGTTGTACCGAAATGCCATACAAGATCTGGACTTCGTTTGTGCAAAATGTGAGATATGACAGTTTCACTTTGTAAAATACATTTCCACGGGGCCAAAATAGATCAACTGAAGACACTGTCAGGTACTTGACTTTGCCGTGGCCCATGGGAGCATTTAGTAATATACAGTTAGTATAATAATTAAGATGTGTTTAATCGTTGTGAGTTACATATAAAATTGTAAAAAATATACTCAGTACCCAGCAAATGCATGTGCATGTTCAAATGTTCGAATTTTAGATGCTTCGGTTTCAAGTATTCGGTTAGATTATAAACGATTAATGCATGGCAGCTCACGTTAAATAGGCCAGTAGTTATGACAGTGGAATTTTCCAGTAAATGGATCCTTTTGTGACACACTTTTGTATGCTGTGTGATCTGGATATATCAAAGACAATATTTCCCAAATTCCCACCAGATATAATTGTTACACCACCAAATATAGTCCTTACATTAACAAAAAACTATTGCCTGAAATTGCATGTTAGGAATGACATCATGTACTCATATTATGTGAAGACATTAAATTTTCTGGTTATGGGTTCTTCTGTGACACACTTTAAACTCATGTAAACAGTGAACATTATCTGATGATCGTGCATGCTGTATGATATTATCTGATTGACTTCTCAGCAGTTTTACAAATATTCTCACCAGTTAGATTCCCTAGTTTGTCAGTATTGCGAGCACCTACTATATATACTGTACTGTTTAGAATATGTGAAGACTGCATGAAATGTCTATACGTATCTCTTATAGATTCTGTTGTGACAGACTTTAAATTCTCTATACGGTCTGCCTGTAGTTCTTCCCATAATTTCAACATGATCTTAGAGTCTCTCAGAGTGAAGGATTTTTAGTGAAGGATTTTACAACCTAAATGAACAATAGACCTTTCTTATATATGAGGTCAAATGCGGAAAACCAATTTATACAATATGTCCCACAAGACAATGTACTGTAAGTCGTTGGCGAGCCAATAAATAAAAAAAAACATCATTTGCATTGCGAATTGTCGCTCAAAATTGTCCCTTGCACTGCAAAAAATGCATTTTTTCATTTGAGTAAATGTTACTCATTTTTTGAGTAATTGCACCAATTACTCAATAATTTGAGTATATTGCACTCTTTACTCATAAACGTGAGTAAACAACAACTCCGAATTTTGAGTAAAATTCTTTGAGTAACTGCTACTCAAAGAGAAGAGTATAAATTACTCAACACTGAGTAAATGACAAAATATACTTTACTCAACGGTTGAGTAAATGTCACCAACTCAATATTTTGAGTAAATACACATTTTTACTCAATTTTGAGTAAATGAAGAATTTACTCAAAATCGTGAGTAAGAGTAAAGAACAGCTTTACTCGAGAAGATGAGTATAATTTACTCAACATTGAGTAAATGATAAAATTCACTTTACTCAAGGGTTGAGTAAATGTCACCAACTCAATATTTTGAGTAAACGCACATTTTTACTCACTTTTGAGTAAATGAAGAATTTACTCAAATCTTGAGTAAGAGTAAACGACAGTTTACTCAAGAAGATGAGTATAATTTACTCAGCACTGAGTAAATGACAAAATTTACTTTACTCAAGGGTTGAGTAAATGTCACCAACTCAATATTTTGAGTAAATACACATCTTTACTCTTTTTTGAGTACATGCATGAAGTATGTACTCAAATTTTGAGTAAAGAGTAAACAACAGCTTTACTCAAGAAGATCAGTATAATTTACTCAGCACTGCCGGTAAATGACAACATTTACTCTACTTATATTACTGTCGTTCCAATTGAAGTGTTGCTGAAATATTGATTCAATACATTACCTCGGGCTGACCAATTCATTTGATCAAGTTCCTCGACATATTCATACACTTCCTGTGAAAGAGCCAATTCCAAGTATTTGATCATTTCTGGTCACTTCCTTTCTATTTATGATTGGTTAGTTGCACAAACAACAAAAGTGATTGGTGCATTCAAACTATTCAACAGGAAGTTTACAATTATACTAGGAAGTGTATGAATATCTCGAGGAACTTGATGAAATGAATTGGTCAGCCCGAGGTAATGTATTGAATCAATATTTCAGCAACACTTCAATTGGAACGACAGTAAGTATAGTCAAGCCCGGTTGAGTAAATTTCAGCAACTCAAATTCTTAATAATTATAATACCGATAATTTATGACAAATCTTGTAAACAAACTAAGTATGAAACTATATACCATTTAATACATTTTGATTAACAAAACCAATTTTCATATTATCTCATATCAGTAGCTATACAGTTACAGAAATCTGCATTATTTTGTGCAACTTTCAAGTTAAGCAAATATTAACAGTTTATTGTAAGCAATCTAATCCATAGCGCAAAACAACGAACAGTTTATTTGCATTATCAAATCTTGGTGGATGCCAAGGGGCTGGAAATAGAATGTTTCCCATCGCAAGTAAAACTTTACTTATTTTACCAAAGGTTGACTAGTAATAATGACACAACCTTCAGAATAGCCACTGCCAAAAATCTTGACTTAACCCAAGTCCTGCAACAGAAAGTTGAATAATAAATGGCAATTTTACTTTAATTAATTCTTAATAGATAATATTATAATCGTTTAGACTGATTCAGGTTTTAAATCTAGCAAAATATTTTGCTCTTTTCGTGTTAATCCTCTAGCAATACACTCACGTCCTGTCACACTTTTCCCTTTTCATAAATCGTCTAGCGAGAAGTGTTATACAGGATGTGGGTCTTTGTTACAAACTTCCTAATTATAGTATAACTAACGTCATTCCAGCCATTAACCAATCATCGACGGAGAAATCCATGCGGGCTGTAAACGCGGCATAGTCAAATTGCATCCTATATTCTGTCAATCTGTCGGTCCACGGTCAGTCAATGTGTTCACTCTGGTGTTCACTGTAAAGGCGCTCGAGTCATCTAATTTTTGTTGAACACAACAAGAATTTATTTATTGAAGATGTTAAAGAAAGACGTTCGAGAGTGGTTGATCAAAGTTGACTTTGCCGACTACTGTGAAAGTTTTAAAGGTATGTTCTACGATTGGCATATTGTGCCGCGAGCAGACAGACGACGCAATTCGGCATTCATTCATTTCGATTCTCATTGACATATATGTAACTTTGATCCGGATTTAAGTTTTTCAAATATTGCGCTCTAACATATTGAGCCATTTGGTATATATATTTTAAACGTTCCTTTCGTTAGCGGTTTCATTTACTTTGAAAATTCAAAAATCGCGCCGCGTTTTTGAAACGCCTCCGGTGTGTCATATGTACCGGTGTCACAGGAGATTCGCCCCCCCAGGAGATTCGCCCCCCCTCTCAAAAGGGGGGCGATATTCCTAGGATATTCGCCCCCCCGGGGCGAATTTCCTAGGAATATCGCCCCCCAGGGGGCGAATCTCCTAGGAATATCGCCCCCCTTTAGGAATTTCGCCCCCCATATAAATTTTGAATTTTTGATCTAAAAACAAAACGATTGCAAGTTGAAAAGATTTATTGTGTGATTTATTTATTTATTACAAGGAGACAAAATCACATACACATTTTAGGCTTCTTAGCAGCTGGTGGTGTGCACAGTCTACATAACCACTCATTTGAGGTACTTAACTAGTGTCATATTCTACACATCTAAAGTGGAACCATTGCCCACAGAGATCTCATAAAATCATGTTGTCGTATTCTTCTGGCAGTTACATTCACATAACATATTATAAAAACAATCGCTTGCAAATTTTATCAATACCAATGTTAACAATAGCCGCCACATTAATCACTTGCTAACAATAAACTATAGGATTAATAAAAATCTATGGAATTTGTTGGGAAGCGTATTGACTATTGTCCATTGAATCGTCAACTTTCCATGTCAGTGTCAGTGATGTAATCTTGATTTTTAACTTCCGCAAAGAAAATTGCATTATATATATGTGGTGTGGTTTATTCAAATAATTTCATGTTTCATGATACTTTGATTTTATCAGTGCCTTAAACTCTGCAAAACTAAAAGCTTTTTTGTCTTTTTTGAACGTATATTATTGGAGTATTGCTTATTGGCAAGTTCTACCTTCGCTTCTGA